ATAGCAAGTTATATGAATTTAAAATTTTAATTTTTTTTATAATAATTTATTATATATTTATCTTTAAAAAATCACTAGATACCTACATTTTTTTTTGAATTTTTACTTAAAAACGTTATAAAATTTATTATAAAAGTATTATAATTTTTTATAATATATTTTAAAATGATTGTAATTAATAAATAAAATTGCCTGCAAATTTGTAGGCAAAACAATTGAAAAGATATTAATTTAATTTTAAATAATTTTTAATCTATAGTAAAATATTAATTAAAATATTATAAAAAATTAAATTAGAAAATTTTTTAATATTTTAAAAATTTAATATAATTAATAAATTAATTAATATTAATCTTTTAAAAATATTTTATCATATAAAATTAAATTTAACATTTACTTTTTAATTAATAAATGTAAATTTTTAATATATTTAATATATTTTTTGAAAATTAAGTTTTATATATATATTTTATTAACATTTACATATATCAATTTCTTTAATACATCAAATTATATAATTTCTTTTATTTTATACCTTTTCAATAGATTTAATAACCATTTGATGTTTATCTTGTAAAGCTTTAAAAAACAAAAAATAAAATTCAATTGACCGAGTATTGATATAATTATCTAGTAAATATTTTTTAAATACTGGCATAAATTGAGAAAATAATTTTCCTTCAATTTCATTCCAAGGTTTCCCATTTAATAAGTCAGTTATTGTTGGATCAAATCTATTATTTTTAAAATATTTATTTAACCAATACTATTAAAAAAATTATTTGTTAATATTATTATATTATATTAAAATTATAAATAAATTATTAATTATCTTACCTTCATTATTTCAAGTTGTTGCTCAAAAGTTTGTGATTCATTCCATTTTTTTGATTTAATATTTGTTTTCTGTTTATAAGTAACTAAAGGATTTGAGGCTTTAGGACATTTTAACTGAAATTTTGATTTATAATTTTGTAGTGATGATTCCGATAGTTTTTCTGATGAGTTTGATATAACATGTTTCTTTTGAGATGATGTTTGAATAGATTTTTGATTTTGTGACAAAGGTGATTTTTTAACTATAGTAGAACCTTTACAAAATGACGATATCTTTGAATTTCGTAATCTTTTAAGATTGTTTTGCTGATTCTTTGAATGTATGCAATCGGCATCGGAGTCATAAGATCTCTTATTACTGGTAGAAGATCGTTGTAATGATGTGAAGTTAGGATTAGATGAATTTTTTATTCTGGATTGAAATTGAACGGATGATCTCCTTAACAATTCATCAGATCTTTGGACTTTTGCTTTAACACCAATACTTTGAGAGTTATAAGATCTCTTCTTACTGGTATTAAATTGCTGTAATGATGTTGAATTAGATGAATCTTTTATTTTTGATGAAAGATGTCGGACAGTAAATGGACCAGTATTAATGTTTTGAAAGTCACAAGATCTTTTTTTATTAATCGTAGATTGTTGTAAAGATGTTGAATTAGATGAATTCTTTAGTCTATTTTGAAGTTGAGAGGTAGACGAACTTGACATTTCATCAGCTTTTTTGGTTTTTGGATTAACCCCAATTTTTTGAAAGTCAAAAGATCTCTTATTACTTGTGATAGGTTGTTGCGATAATGTTGAATTTGATGAATTCTTCGGCTTGGGTTGAATAGGGATGGTGGACGACCTTAGCATTTCATCAGATTTCTGGAATTTTGGATCGCTAACGTTCTGAAAGCTATAGGGTAACTTATTACTAGTGGCGGAATGTTGTGCTGATGCTGAATTAGATGAATTGAGAAGTGTGACGGATGACCTTTTTGTTGTCGTTTCATCAGTAAAAAATTTTTGTGCTAAATAAAATATTATTTAGTTTTTTTTTTTAAAATAAAAAAAAAAAAAATTTGATATATACCATGAAATTTATGTTTATTTCTAACCAATGGAGGTTGACAGTCAAAGCTATTCATTTTTAAACTATACAGAAATTTTTTTTTTTTTTTTTGATATAATACAAGAAAATGGAAAAGAAAAGAAAAAATTCAAGAAAGAAATTTTCCTTGATCAAAAAAAAAAAAAATATATTACCCCTTTTATATAAAGATTTGAAAATTTTCAGTTTATTTGATTATGTAATAAAAAAATAATTCGCCAACTGATAACAAAAACGTGCCTTATCAATGAAATTTTTAATTTTTCTAAATTTGTATAAATTCGTATTCTTTTAGTATTAGTTTTACAATTGAACATATGAAAAGTTTCGTTTATGTCTTAAAAGGTGATTTGCCGTAAAAAAAAAAAATGTTCGTGCCACATCACACAAATGAAATATTCATTGTGACTGGTAAAACAGAACATTTGTTTGTGCATGTGTAATCTTATCTAGTTTTCATTATTTAAATTTTTTTGGGTTTTCAAATTTACAGTTGAATTATGTCGCAAGTAAACAAGTTTCGAAAGCAATTCTCGAATAAAAAGATTTTTGTTTTTATATCACGCATTTCCTAATCGATGAATCTAATGCTTAACGTCATCATATTAAGCTTAAATAGTTCCACATCATCTCTTTAATATATCTTTTAAAATGTTCGTTCTTCCTTCTTCGGTGTACTAAATTCCTTGATTTTAATAGATGGTCTTTTCAAAGAAATGAGATTCAAACAATACCGACTTCAAAATTCATATGGACGGCATCCCTTTGAATGAATGTCGGGAACCTTTGATCATAATAACCGTATATGCAAAGTAAATTACATCGAAAATATTGCGATTTTTTTTCCTAAAAAAAAAGTGAAAATACATTCCTGATTCATTACGCTGAAATTTACGCAAATTTTGGGAGATTGAATTGGATTTCTACAATAGCAGCGGTAAAAGTAAATCACTTCCTTATACTGAAATATTCAAAAAACGCGTCAAAGATGAAACCGTTGTTAAGTCCGGAACAATCTTAACTAAAAAATTCAAACTTGTATTTGCTTTATCTAGACTTTTGTGTACAATTACTAAGTCAATCAACATCGAATCAATTATTGAGCGGGGGCGAAAACGGACATCTTGAGTCAAACAGCATATAATGATATAGTCCTTCACTTCGTTCCAGACTAATCATCGCAAAATTGATAATGTTTCAAATACTGTTATAAAGGGCGAAGGAAAAGATTTGAATAATGATGATTTCAAGCTGTTACTCTATATTAAAATTGAAGAATCGAAAACATCAAACTTAAAGTCAAAACCTATCCTAAATCTAAATTATTCTCGACAATACAACGGCTTTCCCGACGATAGTGATACCGACACTTTTTATCGACCTCCAATAATTATGTCGAATGATGGGAAAAAAATATGAGAGCTCTAGGACATTACAAAAGCAAGATCAAGTTATTTACATTTAACAAGATTGGAAAAAAGAAGATAAGTAAAAATTTTGACACTTTTATAATCTTCATAGTGGAAAATTAAAAATACGGTTATTATAAATTTATATATTTGTGTTACATTTAACAATTATTAAAATTACTAAATTTGATTAAAAGTTGATTCTTACCATATATGGTAGAAAATAATTCATTTATGGTTTATGCTCACGAGTTCAAATAAAAATTTTAAACCTTTCTTTCTTCTACAGTAAATTTTTTGTAAATGCATTCTAAATAAAACGCGCATTATATGTGCACTTCCTAAATGTACTCAAAATTTCAGTTGCACATTCTCTACACACTCTATAAATGCACGACTTTTTAAAATTAACTTCTAAGGTCCCAAAGGGAATGCATTAATAAATAGGGTTGACTGTAGTTCCCTCAATTATTCTCCTCCTCCTTCATCTTCTTCAAATCTTTCCTGCAATTATTACTCCTTGCTTTTATAGTATGTTATCTTATGGAAAGATACCAAAACAATTTTGTGGATTGATTCTAATATTGTAGAAATTTGTGAACATATATCTTTTTCAATCCAACTCTACGATTCTGTGTTTTACTGAAAGATTCAAAGGGCTCGTCACTCGCAGGCCGGATGGCAAATAATTTCTAGTCAGGATATTACGCATTACCAAATTAATTTTAAAGCAAGTTATTATTATTATTTTCAAGACTGCGTTGTTTTTTTAATATTCACGAGTGATAATGCTATCTTGTAATTAGTTCTAGATTGATATTCCACGAGCATTGCTAGTTGTTAAGGTGGTAGTTTCCATGTAAATTGTTCATGGACTGTTATCGATATTGCTATGCCTATTATCCTATTAATCCATCTTTGATTAATAGATGGGATTAATTCACATTAAATCCATTTTTACTAATAAATGTTCGTGTATTCCTAAAATAGGGAGCGAACGTCAAGTTCCTATTTTTTATCATAATAATAAAAAATTGGAAAGAAAGATTACTTTCTAATACTGGCAGATGAACAATAGCTTGATCATGTATTTTTTCAACATTTTCCAAACATCCAATATAATTTTCAATTTTCTAAATCTTTTTTATTTATTTTTTTTTGAGCTGATTGCTTTCTTCTATTTCTATTTCAATCCATTGTTGTTTTGCAAGTGAGCTGAAGATCATCTACAATATTATATATGTTTAACAAAAAATGACGATAGTTTTTATCAATATAAACTGTTGGACCAAACGTGAGTCAAAGTTATTTATCATAAATCATTGGTTAAACTGATTAGCATCTATTTAATGATATGATTTGACTAATAATGTGAATATTAACTGGATTTGCTGATTTTTTTTAAATTCTTTTTGTGCTTTCATAACAGAAGTTATTGAAAGTTTCGAGCTTAAAGATTGTCATATCACCAAGATGAAAAGAATAACAAACGAGCGATTGTTCTAAATTATTTATAAATAAAATTATTGTCCCCCATTTTTTATTATTCTAATAAACTTTATAATCATACAAATAATAATTATACAAATTGAAATAAATGATTTAAATACCGTACATTCTATAAAAAAAAGTTTACAATAATTGATTAAAATTGTTTGCTAATTTAGAGTATTTTGTCGAGATGTTCTGTGTTGTTGTTTCTCTAGTAACATATCAAATTCTCTATTAACTTCCTCATTTTCTTGCAATTCATGACTATCCTTAAAAAGTGTAAATGCACCTTTAGGAATTGACTCCTTACATGCATTAACTTTTTCATGAAATTGTTGTAGATGTGTATTATAATCAACTTCAGTAGGAGTCGTTGGCGTCGTTGGCGTCGTTGGTGTTAAGGTATCGGGTGATTGCACCAAATCTTCTGAATTGAATAAATATTTGGCAGATGTGTCTACTACCGGAGGCTTTGGCTTTGTGTTAAGAGATGAACTTGATAATGAGCGTTTGAGGATAGTTGGAAACGATCGTGTTCGTTTGGTGGATGATGAAGATTTACTTTTGAGACGTTCTGTAGACACATCTCGAATAAACACATGCAAAATCTGACTTGGATATTGCTTTGCTATCTTAGAATATCTAAGGTTAAATTTAAAGAAAAAAGTTCGAACATTAAATTAATAAGAGAGAGTCAAAACTTAAAATCATAGTAATAATAATAATGATAACATTCAATGATTACATTTCCATATCAATTTCACCACTATCTCCAATAAGGATAAATTTTCGATTAGGAAAGTCCTCAAGAATTTCTTTAATGTATGTAATCTTTGAAAATCCTGGTTCGTCAAAAAGGAAATTCTTTAACAAATCATTATAAAATTTTAAATGTGCTGAACCAGGTGGAAAACGTTTTATAAATTGTTTTAACATTGGAAAGAGTTGCCAAGGGGAATTCGAAACGTAGTGAATTGATGCGCCTTTGTTATACTGGTATTCCAAAAGTTAATTAAATATTAGGGAAAATAATCATCAAGAAGGTATAATTTATGAATCCTTTATACTAACCCATTCCGTATATACATCTGCCATTCCAGGAATCTAATTTATAAGTAAATATGAAAACTCGTTTTAAAAAAAAAATGGTATGAAAAAAAATATCAATCATAATAAGCAAATACATACTTCTACTAAATCGTATAAAAATGTGTTTGAGAGAGCGGTGCGTGGACCACTTGTAATTTCTGTTAATTTTATTGTATCATCAATATCCTTAAATAAGAAATGATTATTTAATGTCGAATTAGGAGTTGGATAATAAAAAAAAATTTGAATTCTGTAATATTCTTTAATAATTAACGTACTGATATAACAGATATCCCTTCGTCTTCGATTAAACATGCGAATCCATGTGATGGACGAGCTATAAAGGTATAAATAATATTATCGATTTGTGTAACTGAAAATAATGTCAAGGCTGATTATTACATACTAAGTTTTCTCCCTTCTGGTGTAGCTTCCAGTTTCAACAATCTCACGTGATTTCCGTCTCTGATTCCTTCTTTTTGAGCTTTATCCACCCACTCATCAACAATCTCTACCGGGATTTGGATGGTACCACAAAAATGTCCGGTATTACTCGTGATATGAGTCGATGGATGAAGATCCTGGTAAGCTGTTGAATATTCACTTACTTCGTCGTCGTTCTCATTTACTTCAGGGTCTTCATCTAACTCCATATGTGTTGGATGGGCTAAGCTGACTATTTGCACTTTGTACTCTTGGTTTCGAAGATTTTTTGCCAATAACATTGAAAATCTCTCCTCTAATAATCTACTTTTTTCTCTACTTTCTTCATCATCTTTGTGCACTCCAGCAAAACGTTTTGCCATCCCTATTACCAACTTTTTTCTTCGGCTTTGTCTGGTTCCAAAGGCCCAACCACGAACTCGCACCAGCCATTCGGTATTTCCTTTCTCGTTAACTACGCGTTTGGCATACGAGGGTATCAACATACAATTTTGCTCTAATTCAGTTAAAGTTTTTGCTACTTCGGCAATACTATTTTCTTGTAAAGAAATTTCAGAAATTTCTTCAGTTGTTTTTGCGTCTACGTAAATTTCATTTATTTCTTCTTTTACTCCATTTATTTCTTTAATTTCTAACTTATTAGTAACTTCTGAGGAAAAATATTTTCTTTTAATAAAATTAGTAAAACGTTGTTTTTCCATGATAAGTGTAATAATTTATAAAACAACGCGTGAGGGGAGCATTTTATTGAACATTGCATGGAAAAGGTATTCCGGATTTCGGTGCACAAAATTCGAACTCGTGTAACTAATCGAAACTGCCATGTTATTTTCTGTTTTTTTTGATAATCTCAGTTATTAACTTGGTGTTTGTACAAAATAGTATAGATTCACAGCAATTGTCCAATAAAACTATCGAAAATTTAGATTAGTTCCCGAGTTTTCCGATAGATTTTCATCAAATTTGATAAATTTTCTCCTATCCTGTATATATTAGCTTGATGATTCCTTGTTCAAATCTTTCCTATATATTCCATTTTTCACTTCGTTTTCTTTCATTTATAGGTTTTTTTGATGCTTAATAGCAATCAAAGTTATGGCTTTCAAGTTCAATTGGCCCGATTTTACTACTGAATTCGTCGATCAAGCCAAACAGTTGTTAACAACAGCGCTTAATAAAAGTAATAAGCCGGCGAACATAGTAGATCATATCGTTGTAAAAGATTTGAATATGGGCACAAAGGTCTGGGCACGTCCTTACCCTTTCCTTTTATTTAACGTGCTGTTGGTCATAAACTTATTTCAATGAAATTTTTTATTTTAGGCACCCGAGTTAGAAATAATGGAAATTGGAGAATTAGCAGTTGATAAATTCAGAGGAATCTTCAAGCTGATATACAGTGGAGATGCTCATTTAACTTTACAAACAAAAGTGCAGGTATAATAAATAACAGTTGGAATTTTGAAGTATTAATCATTCTTGATTTTTATTTGTTAAATTTATTTTATTTTATTTTATATTTTCTTTTTTAAGGCAAATCCAATGAATAGTAATAAATCAGATGTAAGCATGTACACTAGAAGAGGAATACTTGCAGCTGATCAACCTCTTGTTGTACCTATGCTCCTTCGATTAAGTAACTTAAAGTTGCGTGGAATTATTGTATTGGTAATCAGCAAACAAAAAGGGATTACGCTTGTATTTAAAAATGATCCATTGGAAAAGGTAGATGTTACATCTACTTTTGATAGTATTTCTAGCATACAACGATTTTTACAAACCGAGATTGAGAAAAGATTAAGAATAATGTTTCAGGAAGATTTACCTTCAATTGTTCACCAATTATCGTTACAAAAGTGGCTTAATGTCAGTAAAAGAAAAGAAGAAACAACGTTAAAGCGTGAATTATCGGAAAAGGATCATAATTTTGACCGTAACCCCCTGCATCATTTACCTGAAAATACTCCTTATGATACCATGTCTATGCCAGACCTTCGTTATCATACACCATTATCAACTCCAAGTTCAGAATTCTCGAGCATTTCTCCAGAGTCATCATATTATGCTGAGGATAGTTATTCTAATATGGGAGACCTCGATTCTTTAGATGGTTACCCAGGATGTTCCACGTATTCAAATTTCGGTGATTTATTTGATCGTCAAAAGGAAGAAGGTTTAAAAGCAATATCTCAACCCGATAAAGATCATCATTCGGACATAAATCGTCCCAGAGTTTTTCACCGTCAACGATTTCTTGTATCTCCTAAACCTCAAAGGAGAGATTCTTTACCAACCTGGTTACCTTCCATACAACAAGAGCAATCATATGATGTTAGGAAACCATTAAGAAGACATGTACTTAATGAAGTAAACCACCAACTCTCACCAATAATAACTGCAAGTCAGTTTGTTGAGACAGTCTCCCTTGCAAGTAATAAGATGACAGCGGCAAATCTTCAACGTCATAATCAGTATCAAGTATCTGAAAGAACTCAACCTTCACACCATTCATTTCTTTCACCTAATACATCAAATAATTTGCCATGTGACGGTTCTCTGAATAGTTCGGTTCATGATTTCAACCACATGAAAACCCAAACTTGTACGAATGAACATGATATTTTATTACGTCGACAAGAAATAGTTCTTCAGCCTTCCGAAACATCAGTCGCTGCACAGCTTGCCACTTTGATGAATTCTAATCATACTATTTCTCCTTATACCCGTACTTTACAACATCTCACCTTCCGGTCTTTTCCGCATCCAGCAAACAAGACATTAACTAATAAACGAAAGTTGCCCGGTAAAGTTGTGGTCAAAAGAAATATTTTGAAATTTCCTGGTTTGACAACTGGGTTCGGACAATGTAATAATAATGTTAACGATCCAGATAATAAAGATTTTAATGAAATTTAGCAATTTGGATAAACTAACTAAAACTTGGATTTAATCATTTTATACAGTATTTGTAAAAGATGATTTGCAAAAAAGACAATAATATTTGTTTAAATTCAACCATATATAACATGATAATATATATATATATATATCATTTTTTTTTTTTTTAAAAAGGAAAAAAAAAAGGAAAAAAAAAAAAAGTATTTACGGAAGAAATGTGAATAACATATTCATCAATTAGAATTAATATATTCTAAATTTTTTATCCTACTAATCTACGACAATTCAATATACATACATACATACATACATACATACAATTATTGAATGAAATTTAATCAAGGGAATTACTTACTATATTTAACAATATCTATATTTTTTTTTTAAAAAAAAAAGGTAATAAGAAAACTTATGTTTCAAAAAGATTGAAATATTACACAATAATAATAATAAAATAAACAGAGTTAAACGAATGTGTTACGGCCGAAAAAAAAGATAAAAAGATTCTAAATTGGATTGTCAAAATTTTGAACCCCGAATAGATCCCATCTTTGTTATAAGCCCAAACTTAATCTCTAAACCAAAGTTATTAATACTAATCAAAAAGACGGTAAAAAATAAGGAAAAAAAAAAAATTATTATACAAGGAAATAAGAGAAAAAAGTGTAATAAAAAAAAAAAAAAATAAAAATAAAATAAAAAATCACCAGCTTATGGTTTTAAATTGGGTTGATTTGTTTAGATGTTAATGAGCTATTTTTTCTCTTTTTCTCTCGCACTAGTCAGAAGATAAGGTCAAGTTCTCCGTCAGATGACTTTTTATTATTATAATGAAAAATGTGGATTAAGAATATATCATCGCGCGAATCGTCCATGATTAAAAATAATCAATTTCATTTATCATAATACTTACTGAATCATCCATATGATCGGGTCTGTTAATTATGTAATGGTCAGATTTGAATTAAATTTTTAATAACAAAATTTCATAAATAATTCAACTTACGCATCGCCTAGTGTTGCCTGCAACGTCTTGACACGACCCTTCAACTCATTTTTTTGCATTAAAAGTTGTTGAATATATTCCACAGCTAAAATAAAATTTTTTTTTAAAAAAGAAAATTTTAAGTTAAAAGATAACTGATACGTATAATAACTATAATTCATCAAACACAATTGTACAAAAAATTTTAAATATAATAATTACATTTTTGAAGAATTAACGCCTCGCTTCGATGACATTGACTAAGTGTAGGTACAATTTCGACCAATTGATCGAAACCTAAACGAATGTTCTGTCGTCTTTTCTGTTCAGATGCGATATGATTTGCTTTTTTTTCTGCTTCAGTTAATAGTTCGTGATGACCTTTTTTTCCTCTTCCTCCACGATTCTGTGCTGGCGATAGAGGTTGAGAGTTATTCGATTCTGATGTAGATGCTAATTTTGGTGATGCTGGCGTTGCTTCCGTTGTGGAAGAAGATCCAGCATTTAATCCAGATGAAGAGACGGTAGGAATTAATGTGGATATCGTTGAGTTATTTCCTTCATCTGACTTGGATTCATTTAATGATGCATTAGCATCATTCGAATTTTTAAGAGATTTTCGCCGAGAGGGCGTACGTTTTATTGCTGGTTTTCCCACTGAATTTGATCTATGCGGTGATGGTGATCTTTGCCTCCTATTGTTAACCGTCATTGGTTCAGATTTTATGTACAATGCAGAGGAATGGTTATTCGCGATGGATTTGACTTTTCCACCGTGAATTAATCCATTATTTAATGCCGGTATCTGATGATTTAAAGGATATTGTTGTTGTTGTTGAACATAATTATCATGAACATGAGAAGCTGTTTGATGAAAATTAGCTGTCTGAGAGTATCCATTATTTGCCGGTATAGTAATGGAGGCAGAGCCAATGGGTTGATATATATAACCGCCAGCTCCGGCATAACCAGAATTAGGATCAAAGTTAGAACCAAACCCTGTTTGAAACCCTCTAGACAACTGCATTGAAGTCTGAGGGTCTATGATCGTTTTCATTAATATAAAAAAATGTATTTGTTGTAAGTTCCGTTTTTCAAGTAAAATTTCAAAAAAAAAATTTGTTAGTAAATTTGAACATACCGTGAAATGAAATGCTCGTTTGACCATGGTGTGTGATATCCATCATATGGTTCGGAGGACCTTCAGTTGCGATTGTATCAAGAAAATCGGTCATAATTTTTTGATCTTGTTCCGTTAATAGACCATCGTGTTGCGAGTATCTGAGCATATTCTCCGAGTTAGCCTGGAAGGACATTGCATACGCAGGAGTAAAGTTAAACGCGAGTTCAATTCGACAAAAACTTATTTTAATTATTTATAAATATTTATTTAAGTCGAAGGAGGTTTAAATTAAGAGAGGCGGTCAAGGGTCGTTGAATTATTAACTAAGTATAATTATAAAAGTAGTTTGATTTATTTGGTTTCGTAGACAATTGATGTTTGTGAGGAAGGTTGATCATCTCCAAATATAAACGCTTCTTCCTTATGAATCTCACGCCTCTGTACTACGAGAGAAGGACATACTTGAAAGATGACGTTTAGTTTTATCATGCGAAAGACCAAGTACCAGGTAACGGGAATGACATCTATAACCGATAAAAGTTAAAGATCTATGAACGATTGATCTTTACGTTAGTACCCATGTCTTCCGCACATGCAATTTCACCAGAAGTGCAAGAATATTTAGATCATGTTGTTTCCAAACTTCCAGAAAGTAGTTGGTCTTTTATGCAAGGATTTTTGATAGGTCAATTATCGATAGTGATTTTGGTGTTCGCTTTTATAAAGTATATGTTACTGGAAGACGAAAAAAAAGATAACCCTCAGGTTCTTATTTATTTTCAAATCGGTTTATCTTTATTTCATAATATATACAATATAGATATGTATATATATATTTACAAAAAAAAGCCCCCCGAGTAAAAATGTAAATTGAACGAAAAATAAATGAGTAATGTTTTTTAGCGCCCTCTTCCCATTCCTACGCCTCTGAATCCGAAAACAGATTCATCTTCACCGGTATCAACTATTTTATCAAAAACATTATATGATCCAACTTATCACCCACCTGAATCCACGGCATGGCTTAATGTCCTAATTGAACAGGCCATATATCAGTATCGAGATGATGCTAAAACGGACAATCGTTTGGCACGCATGGTTGATGAAATATTGAATGGTGGTGTTAGACCTGATTTTGTGGTAAGTCTTCAATCAATAATAATAATAATAAATAATAAATGATTCTAATGGTATTAATATATTACGAATAGGGTCCCATAGAGGTTACGCGCCTTGATATTGGAGAGGAATTTCCTGTTTTTAACAATGCTCGAATAAGATCGGCGGATTCCATAGGAAGAATGGTATTTATTTAAATTTAAATCTCATATTATCATTGAGAACATTATTATATTCATCCTATTTTTTTTTTTTCTAATTTTTTTTTTTTTGATATTTAATATAATAAGAGAGTTGAGGTTGATTGTGACTATTGTGATCAAATAACACTTGGAATTGATACTCAAATACTTATTAATTGGCCAAAACCAAAAATAGCCGTATTACCAATTTCATTAGTATTATCTGTGATCAAATTTTCTTCTACGGTAAGATAAGTTCCTGATATAATTGTGGAATATTTGGGAAGCCATATTTTGTGAATTTAATATATTCAATTCGTATTATACCAGAACATTGACAATGCCGCAACTAAATAATTTATACTAGGTAACTTTGGAGATAGTGACTACTCCGGAATCCTCTTTTATTAAAGTCTCTATACTACCGGATTTCATTCTCGAATTTAATGTTCAATCATTAATAGGTTCACGATCAAAACTTGAGGATATTCCTAAAATCACTCATATCATAACATCTAAATTAAGAAACGCGTTTTGTGAAAAGTTCGTGCATCCTAACTTTAAAAAAATCAAAATACCTGATTTGTGGAGCAGAAATAAGAAATCTAGGAATTCAGAAGATCTTTCATCAGTAAATCCACAAAACGTTTTTGGAAGTGAAGAAATAATTGACGCAACTACAAATTCTTCAACACTACCTGAAGGATTGAGACATCGTATGGGAGATTATCCGTTAGTGCAGGATGCTGTGTTTCTCACACATGGTGTAAAAACCACAACACAAGCTCAGACGTCGTCTTGTTGAAACGAAAAATTGATTAATTTAGTCAAATTAAATAAATTCTAATTAATACATTAAGAAGGAAAATTTTGTTTGAAGTATGGCTTAATCTTCTTTTTATTATAATAAACGATTTTTTTTATATATATATATATAATATAAGTATGTATGTAGATGCAAATTTAGAAAGGTTTACATTGTGATAATTTAAAATTTTGGTATTCGTTTTTATTAAAATAAAGAGAATAACAAATTAATAATATATTTTGATAACTTATTACAATTTGTTGAAAGCAGCTACATCAACACTTTGAACATAATCTTCAAATCCGGTGATTTTTTCTTCCAAATCGTCTATTATTGATAAAATCATCAATCAATCAATTTCTTTTTAAAGAAAATCAAAGATTAAAATCAAAAGAAGATTCAAATAATACAACTTACCAACACCAACTTTATCATCTACCACGACACACGTAATTTGCAATTTATTGATACCATAACCAACAGGAACCAACTTAGAAGCGCCCCACGTGAGACCATCTAGTTCAATACTCCTTACGGATTTTTCCATTTCAGCTAAATCCGTAGTATCGTCCCAAGGTTTAACATCTAGAATAACCATACTTTTAGCAATAACTTTTGGTTTGGCAGCCTTTTTACGTTGATATTCAGCAAGCCTTTCCGCCTTTTGTCGTTCAACTTCTTCGTCTTCTTCATTATCAGAACCAAACAAATCAATATCACTATCGTCATCTTTCTTTTCTTCCGCTGAAGTTTCAGGTCCATAGGATGATGCATCCTTTTTTGTACCAGGAAGCGAAAGAAATGAATCAGAATAAGAGGCAATTTGATTATACCATCGAGTTGCGTGAGGAAACTTGGTAGGGTCTGGAACTTTATGATTCAAGGCTTCGAATATGGCTACATCAGCTTGGGATGGTTCGAAACTAATATGGTTGTATTATAAAATTTTTTTTTTCGTTAATTGATTAGGAAAACATTAAATTTACTTGTAAAAACATTGATTGATATAAGGTATCAGAAAATTTGGATAAAAGGTTTCTTCATAAAGTGGTGTCTTAATTCCACTTCGGAAACACGGACCAATTAAATAAATCATCATCAAAATGAAATCAAAAATCCATTCTTTTCAATTTATATAAAAAAAAAAAGCATACCCTTCAATATAAGATTTATCTTGCAAAAAGGTGTTAAGAGCTTTAAGACCTGTGTCGTTATCAAGTTGAGTGAAGCCCTGAAACAAGAATACAATAAGGTTATTTAAATCCGATATAATCAAATGAAAAAAATTAACGTAATGTGTCATTGCTTTAACGCTAGTAATTTTCTCATTCACTTTATGTTCTCTCCTATTCTTTTCTTAAACTTCAATTAGATAAACAGTATATACCATTTTGTCAAGTTTTATGCTGATTAGTTTGGATGAAAAAAGACGTAAAAAGTAGAAGTCCAAGTCAACGTTAAAAATTTTTTTTTTTTTTTTTTTTTTCCTGATTGTAACTTTCGATCAAAAGAAGCAACCGTAAAATTTCCGAAAGATAAATTTTTGAAGGTTATTAAATTTTTAATTTCGGCAGATTTACCAACTGATTTTAAAACTTAATTCCAGCCAAAATCAATTAAATATTAATTAATATTCTTTATATTATTATATTTAATTCTTTAATTATCTCATTTATAATAACAGATAAAAATAAAAAACAAAAAATTAAAAAAAAAGTATAAATTTCTTAAAAGATAAAAATATTAATTTTTAATAAGATAATTATTTATTGTTATATAAAAATATGATTTAATATATAATTTTTTTATCAATTTTATTAGACAATATTAAAATTAAGTTTTAAAAGATTATTATAATAATTTATTAAAAAATTTAAATCCTTTAGTTATTTATAGAACTATAAAATTTCTTAAAAAAAATATAAAAAATATAATAATTAAAATTATTTTTCATGATAAATTTTATAATATTATATTATACTTAAATAAATTTTAATAAGATTGCTAAAGGTTAATGATAATTTTTTAAAATTACAAATTTTTAACTTTTAAATTTTATTTAATGTAATTTAAAAATAAATTTATTTTAATATAATATATATTTAAAAATAAATCAATAAAGAATTTATAATAAATAAACAAATAAATTTATTTGCAAAATTCTATATTTAAGTAATAAAATCAAAAAGATATAAATTATTATTTATTTACAATTAAATAATTTATTTAATATTATAATTCTTTAAAAAATAATATAAAATTCTTATATACATATAGAAAAATTATAATATTTGAATATTTAGTAGTTATAAATAAAATTTATTATATTTGTTATATTAAGAATCTAATAATAATATTTTAAGATTTTAAAATTAATACTTTATTAAAAAATATATTATTATTTAATATTTATTAATTTTTAATTTTAATTTATTTATTTATTAATAATTAAATATAATTAACATTATAAATAATAATTATTCATATAGTAAAAAAAAATATAATAAATAATATTTTATTTATAAAAATTCTAAAATTTCTAGGATTTATAGTAAAATAAAATATTATTAAAAATTGTGAGTTAAAATCTATAAAATCTATAGAAATTAAGTTTTAGTATTTCAGCTTTTTAATTATTAAGGATTAAATAATTTTCTAATTAAATATATATAATTTAAAGTATTTTAATATAATAATAATTATTGATATATTTAATTAGAATTGATTTAAAAATCATATTATTATATAAAAAAATAAAAAGTAAAATAATTTTTATAATTTTAACTTCATTAAAAGAAAAAAAAATATAAAGAAAATTATATTTATATAATTTTTATTTTCAATTACTTATATATGAAAAAAAAAAAATAATTTTGCAAATAAAACCAAAATTTAAATTTATTTTATAATTAGCAATTCTATTTACAATTTAATTTTTAATTTAATTAATTATTAAAATATAATTTCAATTTTTTAGATCTTTAATTATTATTATTAATATTAATAAAAGCATAACCTATTTCTTAACATGAGCAAATAGTTACGAAAGATTGCAAAGAATACAATGGTAAAAATTTTATTGATTTAAGAAAATGTTATAATTTGTGTAACTTCCATCAATCAATTTCCATTTGATCATCCTCATCATTCATGTTATAATTGGTTTCACCATTTTGATCATTCAAATACATTGTTTCATCAATTTCAACTATTTTATCATCAGTTTCGTCTTTCATGCTATTGTTATCCTCAATAAGTGAATTCATAAAATAATCCTCGTTTCTTGGACGATATAAAATCAATTGTTTGCCCTCATTTTCAAACTCTTCGTTATTCAAGTGCTGGAATTGTGAACGCATATATCTAGTCATCGCTTTTTGATAAGGAAGTGTAAATGATATATTTGAAGTCGATTTTTTATATCGTGACAGGGATTGATTTTCTACAGGTTTTGCTTTATTAGATGAAATTGTATTAGAACCAGTTTTAAGTTCTTTTAAGACAACAGGTCCATAAATTCTAGAGTTCATCATTTCTTCGTCCTCTTCAATAAAATTGCACATATGTTCTTTGGAAGTTCGAAGTCTTTTATGTGAATGAAGTGAATTATTCTTGCTCTCCTCCACAGGTTCAAGAGTACTAGACAAGTTAACTTGATTCTCAACTAATTCTATTGGACGTTTCAGTTTTCTGCTCTGTAAATGTTCCAAGGATGGGATCGATTCTAAAGACTCTCCCGTGGATAAATCGATAATCCGGGGAACATTTGAAAGTAAACTTGTTTCAATATCATTTCCGACATCTCTTTTACCAATATTTCTAGATGTACCAAATGGAGGTGTGGCATGTGTTTGGGGTTGCTGCGATAATGAAGAATTTACAGATGTGGCTGTTTTTATTTTTTTATATGTGTTATGTAATTGCTCTGCGGTTTCTTGGTTAAAAGCATTTTGATCAAATGGACGTTTTTTAAAATGTTGGAAGTCGGTTGTAGAATAGTGAAAACCGTGAAGATGATGCGAGGTGGCGGAAGAGATTTGAGTACTCATATTGAAGTATAACTAAAGTTTTTCTCTCTCTTTCTTTGGCAAGGTTACTGGTAAAATGAAAAAAAAAAAAAATATCACTTGAAGTGTGGAAAAACAGTACGCCCGGGACTTTATTTTATGACAATTTTAAAAAGAAAAAAAAAAAGGAAAGAAAATGGGATAGGCGGTTATTGAAGAATATATAGGAGTTTGAAGAAGAATGTTATCGAAAATTATAGAAAATTCTCGGTTATTGAGTCTCATTTCGGAAAAATGTTTGCAAACTTTTATAGGAAAAAGCGCTAGAAATGATGCAATGCGGTAACACTGATCACATGATAACAACGATAACAACGACATTTATCTAAAAATAGGGGTTTATTCATGTAACAATGATTTATTCATAATACAAATATGGCTAGTCACTTTGTTTCAAATAATTCATCCATCTCCTTCCAAATTACACTTTTAATAAAATTCGTAAAGTCAAGGCCGAAACCCGGTAACAATGAAAATTCTTTATGGAATTTATCAATCGATTTAACAAGAGGAAAGTCGAAGATGATTTTAAAATGAGGATCGGAGTCTACACTATAAATGTTATAATAAATAATATAAAAAATATACTACATGTTAATAAAATTCATCGTATCACATAATAAGAATCCGTGATAATATTACCTGGTCACACGAACTTGGACGATATGGCCAGAACGTCGCGTGCTGAAACATAACACTCTAGTTTCGGTTTTATTGTGTAATTCCCCGGAAGAATAAGTGACATCATACGCGATAACATCAACGAGCAAAATTTCTTTTCGTATCCGAGAAACCATTTAGATCAAGATATAAAAACATAATACTAACAGATACGTGCATGCATTCATTACCAGAAGTTGTCAAATTTTGTTTAGCAGGAAGGTCATTTAAATACGCTTTCAATTGCCAATACCATTTCGTAAGAATCTTATCACTTTCATAATTTTCATCAGTCCACACGGTTGACATCTTTTGAATCGTATCTATCATAAAAGTTATAAAAAAATTTTTAGGGAGAAATACTCGTAAAGGTGGTCAAATAATATATATATATATATTTTATATACATGGAGTATTTAGAAATTCCTTATCCAAATTTTGCATATCCTTTACCCATGCTTCTTCATAATTTTTGTTGAAAGGTTTAGATTCACTTTAATACATTGAGAAATATCACGCGACAAATATAATTAAAAAAATATATATACACATATTAATAATACAAAAAAATACATTCATTAAAAAAATTTATTAACCTTTCTTGTTGAAATTGTCCGAATGACAAACGATAAAGTTGATTCGTAAACTCCAATTTCTCGGATAGGTTTATCTTGCTCAAATATATCTATTAACGTTAATGTCAATGACAAAGCTGTTCATTTAAAGATTATCTTCAAACACAGTAAGCAATCTTCAAATACTTTATGATGTTCCTCTTCTAGGTCCTTCAATGATTTATTACTATCGTTTTGGACACTTGAACCAACATCCTCGATCGCCTTATAGGTTTAGATTCAAACAAATTTAAACCTTCAAAACAACGGTCAGCTTTGCAAATCTAGCAAGTTTAGCCTACTTGTATTGCCTGTAAAAGTTTATTGTGAATATCTGTTTTGATTCGTCTCTTCTCCTTTTGTACCACCTCGAAAGCTTTTTCATAATCCCGTAAAACAGTTTCGCTTGGTTTAAATTCCATGACGAAGTTTTATTTTATGGAACAAAAAGGTATATAAATAAAGGAATTTTTGGAGGGACGATCATGTGATTTACATAGATGTTGATATAAATAGATGCAAAATTTTTGTTAAAATTTTTTTTTTTTAAATTTCAATCTATCGAGATTGTCACAAAAATAATGTCACAAAGCATAGGTGCACAATGCAACGATCTCAAAAAAGAATACGATACATGTTTCAACAAATGGTACTCTGAAAAATTTCTCAAAGGAGATTTACGACCAGAATGTGAAGAATTGTTCGAAAAATATAGGGCCTGTGTCTTGGTAAAGATATTTTATTTTTAATTCATTAAAGATATCAAAATTTGTAATTTTCATCTTTCGTTTGTATCCGAAATATTTTAGAATGCCGTAAAACAAAAACAAATTGACAAATTGTTGGTTGAAGCACGGAAAGATGATCCATTCACCTCTACTTCAGGAAAATAATAATAATTATTATTAATCTATTATTACAACTCTACATGTTTTTAATAAATATATTGGTTAATTATAAACTTTTTCATTCAACGGAACAGGAAATGGAATTGTTTGGTTTGTTCCAGTTTTTCCGCCCATTAAAAATCCAACGTAAGGCATCACATCCCAATATATTGAGTATTTCGCATTTACCTCACTACATAGATTGAAAAGAAGTCATCAATATAGATTCAATTTAAAAAAAAAAATATATATATATATATATTACAACTTAAATATACTTAACCCAAAGCTAGGTGTAATATCCACAAATTCATATTTTTCATTTCTCACTTTATTTCCTTTAATGTGGGCATCTTCTTTTGACCGAATAATCGAATCCCATAAAACCACCTGATTCAATTCCTATAACGCAACAAAGGTTATCAGAACGAACCTGTAATTTAAAGTAAAATCGAATTCATCACTTACATGTAATTTGGTCTCGTACTCGGCAACGACAGCAACAAATAGTTGTTTTGTATTCCAATTGAAGAGTGAGGTTAAGTCTTTAAAGTAAATAAATATACAAAATTTACATCGATACCAAATATTCGTGAATTATATATATGCATATACAGCAAATTTACCAGCATCAATATTCATTTCTATGAAAGCGAACTCGGTTTCTTTATTAGCATAATTATACAACCATATATTAAGTTCATTTATGTCAACCTTGCCTATCGGATTAGAAGTTATATAAAGTGAACTTATGGCTATTGATAATAAAAGACCGAACATGACGGTCATTGCAAATGCAAATATCGCACTTGCACGTTGAACAATATTGTACATCTTTTTATAAAAAAATTTGTTAGATAAGAGCAAAAATAATCAAATGGCTAGGGAATTATTTTTTTTTTTTATACATTTAATCAATGTTACACGAACCCAAATGTGTTACAAGATGATTGGTCAAAACAATTTGTGTCAAATGATTTTTATTATCGTTAGTTAATTAATTTATCATCAAATCTAAACAATTTCTTCGGAATTTTTGATATAAATAAATTTTATATAACTTTGCGCTTTTAGATAACCTTCCCTAGTGACACAACCGGCCCATTGGATATCTAACTCCTTAAGACTATTCCCAAGATAACGCGTGATAACATCTAAATGTTGATCCGATATACATTGACAATAAGGAATTCTCAAAATTTCCAAGGGAGACTTTAATAACGCAAGAAACATCTCAAATAACTCGGCAGTAAATGAACATGGCATATTGATCTCCAAGCATTGTAAAGTAGTTGGTAGTATGCGTCCAAATTCAAATGATCGATAATTGATTGGACTCTCATCAAACCATCGAGAACCGATCGATAAGCTCCTGAGTTTTGGAAACGCTTTAATAAATGTTGAAAGATATATTAATTCATTCGTGTAGAATGGCATATTCAAACTGATTATATTTGGACAATATTTCACTAAAGCAGAATTGATTCTTGGTAGACTTTCAATATTATCACGATATACGTGACGAGTGATGTATAACTCTTGCAAATTTGAATTTGTATTTCGAATCAACTTTAATAGAACATCATCATTAAAATGAAAATCTGTCTCAATTATGTGTAATTTCCTTATACGAGAAAGCGAAGCGCTACTCAAAGGTTGTTTTGTTGTTATCATTGGAAAATAACATCCATCAAAAATTAGGACTTCCAAATTTTTACAACATTCCAATAAGTTTGACGTATCCTCTTCAAAATTCAAATTATAAAATTCAGCCTCTGTTAATGTATCTCCCAAAGATGAAATAATAAATTCGGGGCAAACTTGATATTTCCCTATAAGTTTAATATGTTGAAGGATACTTTGTGACCTTATTAGTCTCGCAATATTATGAATTTCGTTATCTTCATTATAATCGAATGGTTCATCAGTAAAATCAATTGAAAGTTTTCTAATACTCGTAAATTTATCAGCCCAATCATCAAAATGAATGTGTATAGAATCTCCACTTATTGGCTTTATTGGTTGAGATTTTAACACTATGTATACTGATTCAAGAGACGGACAGTATTTTGTGATGAATCTAAGAAGTACATAAAGAATTATGTCTTGAGATACTTGATCAATTTTTTGTTGATTCGATTTCATCCATTTTGATATAGATTTTTGAAGTCTTTCTAAATGAAAATTTCGTAAAAATGTTACATAGTTAAAGGTCGAACGTCTTAATAATTTTGGTAATTTAATACCATTCGTTATTAATAGACTCCTGTCTTTTTCATTAAGACAGGAAAGATATGTCTGTATTAATTTTTCTGAGGCTCTAAGAGTTGTACCGAGAAAAGTAAAAGGTTGTCGCCATAAAAAAGGTGCTGTATTTTCACACCAGAGTCGATTGACAAGAATGCATGAGTGTAAAGACGTTTTGTCTTCTTGTAAAAAGCGGAATATTTCCTCAAAACAATCAACAGGTAAAATTGGAGCCATATTTATTTTTAAAAAAGGGAATATTTTACATAGATGAAAAAGACGAAAAGTATTTGGTTTTTTTTTTTTTTTTTCACGGTATATAACAATAGCGTTACACGAATTGATTTTCTCATTACATATATGATTTAAAGATATATTTATTTTTAATTTTTATAAAATCATAATTTTTAAAAAAAATAAGAATTTAAATTCTAAAAAAAAAAATAGTTTTTTATTGAATTACTATTCCTATTGGATTTTTTCATAATTAGTTAATCTAAAATTTATAAAATAATTAATAAAAAGTAAGTAAAATTATTAAAAAAAGAGTGATTATACCTTTTTAGAAAACTTTATAAGTAATTATTAGAAAGCTATAAATTAAAAAAATTATTTCTCTCCAAATTCTAAAGATAAAAATAAAAGAAATATCTAAATATATAATAAATTAAATAAATTAAACTTATATACAAATTGTATTTTAAGATTATAAATATTATCTAATATAAATATAATTTATTTATATTTAAATTATATCAATTAAAAAGGAAATAACTAGGAAATTATAACTGTTATTTAAGTCTAGAATGATCTTAACTAAAAAAGTTTAAATTGCAAATATCAATCAGCATCAACTCAATTATTGAGTGAGAAAAAGTGGTTATCTTAAATTAAATAACATAGAATTAAATAGTCTTTTATTATACTTTAGAAAATTAGTTATAATAACATTTATATTTATTCATATAAGCATAATTACATTATATAAATTAATTATTATACTTTTATTAGTAGATCTGCATTACATTACTATAATAATATATTAAAAATTACAACTATCATAATAATTACAATTAAAATAAAAGTTATAACTATCATAAAAGTTATAATTATAATAAAAAGTTACAACTAACATAAAAGTTATAACTTTAAATTAGTTGCAATTTTAGTTAAATTTTTAAAAAAATTATAATTAGTAATTACAACTTTAAAGTGCAATTTTTTAATTAATATATCAAACTTTAGTATTTATATATATACAGACCCCCGCCAAAAGTCTTCGAACGCTTTTTGGCTCAATATAAAACTTAAATTTTTTAAGTTTAATTAAAA